TTGACAATCGTCTTTCAAAACAAAACTAGCGGGCCTTTGTTTATCCCGTCAGTTCCCAAATGTCAGTTCGATTCAACAGTCAGGTGACGTACGAGAAAACTCGCGATTTTTCGAATTTATGCCCAACAAATTAGATCCGGACGCTCCCATATTCACTCCACCTCCAAAGAATGCGATGAGGAGCCCGTCGCTAAGCTCATCCGCGAACTCCTCACCAAACACGCCCAAAGAACCTCAATGCTCCAGGTAAATCCAGGTTTTTTACACGTCTACAACATTGCCAAACGTATTTTCCTTTCCTAAAACACTTTTAATTTATTTTTCAAGGTACTCGAGACGCTCGGTGCGTCAGCCACTGTCTCCGAACAGTCCTAGACCGATCCTTGGGACAAAACTGCCCTTTCCCAGGCCTATATTAGGTCGAAAAGAAGATAATGCAAGGGATGAAGCAGATGAATACATAGGAAAAGAGTTTAGAAACATGAACAGGAGTTTCCAGAGAATGAAACTCAAAGAGGAGAGTATGATAGAATCGGAAGGAGAGTAGAGTTGAGCTGAGAAGTTGTTCAGAACGATGTCTTGTATTGTTTTATATTTTTGTCTATAATGATAAGATGATTCCGTGATTTTTGGCAAATATAGAAACAGTTTTTTTAAATCGTAATATAGAAAATATTAAATTTGTTGTATTTTATTTTAACCTAAGTTTAAATACATTAAAAGAGTCTGTAAATTTGAGGATTTCTTTATATTTTTACTCACGTTATACAAATACCTATGGAAGATGCAAACGTAGACTTTCCCAATAAAATAATAATAATCAAACAGGTAAGTATACCTAAAATTTTTACCTAAAAACAGTTTATTATCTACTAAAAACTCAAATAAGATAAAAACAAAACTAAATAATATAGAGCTTACCATGGTTTTATATCAGTTGCTAGGAAGACAGTAAAATCGTGGAAAAACTTCCTTCATTTCTTCCTTCGTCATTTTCCTTTTATATAGAAGTGGAAAAACTGTAGGAGTCTCATTAGAAGTTGAGAGATATGAATCTCATGCGAAAACAACAATGCATGTCGTAGAATAATATGTTTATGTTGTTTTCGTATGTTATAATATACAGTATTTTATTGTCTTCAAATAATGCATTTTTCTATTTTTGTCTGATATTTTTTCTTTAACAGGATGATTTCAAATAAAAATATATTTATTTTTTAACTCAACTTTCAAAAATGAACTAAACATACATTTTTATATCGATATTACCTTAGACTTCTACAGAGTGTCTCAAATAATACTGTTTAAATCAGTGATGTTAATAACATTTTGTACAAAATGGTACAGGGTGCCCCTAAAAACATTTTAAAACCAGTGGTGGCAAAGAAACAGTGAGATTTAAGTTCAAAGCCAAAACACACTGTACAGGGTGACCTAAAAAAGCATCGTGGCCTCTTAAGATAATTGAATATTTACATGTTATCTGTGATGTGTGGACAGAGTGTCTCCATTTTTCATTAAATTTGTTATTTTAATAAGATTATACCTGCGTATATTAATAACTAAGATAAATAATCTTTGATATTTGATTCACTGTGTATATGGTACTTATTCAAATCTAAGGTATTAAAAAATATTATAGAGTGTTCCAAAAAACTACCTAAATTTCCTAAAAATCATGAAAACTCATGAAACGTGGCATATAATTCTAGGGCAGTCAAAGCCGGTTATAGGGTGGCTCAAAAAAGCACCGAGACTTCTCAAAAGGCCCTATAACACGAAGGTAGAATATTTAATTTCTGAAAACAAGAAGGAAGAATATTTGATTCACTGTATATGGTAGTTATTGAAGTCTAAAGTCTCAAGATATAGTACAGGGAGGCACAAAAGAAACTCTAAACCTCTTAAAAGTTGAGAACACAAACGAAATGTGGTATTTAAGTCTAGGACATTAAAAATGGATACAGAGCGGCCCAAAAAAACATGCTGGGACTTCTGAAAAGCCGCTAGCACGAAGGAACTGTGAGAGAATTAATTAATTTTTCCGCATTAAACGATTTAGAAACGGAAGATGCCCATTTTGGTAAATTGGCAAGCAGCTAATCATCGCCAAATAGGTGTACCTACTTTGATCCTAATGCCTCGTAACGACCCATGTAATTATGTCGTTCCCTTGTTCGGCACATCGAGTTCGTTTTCCACACTTATTGTCAGAATAAACTTGAAAAAAAATTACGTATTTACTTTTTTATTTTTTTAATTTACATTAACAATATACAGGATATGTCTAACAAATAATGGTAATAACTTATCTAAATAAGAAGTAAAATTCTAGGATAACTTAATTTTCAATGACATTTATCTCGTGCCACTTGTGCTGTGTGATCTCTTTAGTGTAAAGTATCTTAATATGAACAAATACTCTAATAGATTATTGTTTATTATATTAATTTTTACATTAATCCACTTCAAGTAAGTATAAACTGTATTTAACATTTTTTTTATAAGTTTAATTGTTTTGTTTTATGGCTAATATAACAAAAGCTTAAAATTGTTTTTTAAGATGTAGAGCTTCTGTTCCTAAGCCCAGAAACCCAGATAGCCAGAATCTAAGTAAAAGCATTATACCTGATGATTATATTAGAGGTAATGTTATACAGGGTGGGCTATTTTGTAATAGCGAAACTCTGGCAACATATTCTGCAGATAAAAATAATATAAAAAAGTTCCTATAAAATGTTTCGTTTCCGTTATACAGGGTGAAGAAATTCTATTTTTATTTCGGGTTCTTAGAAGCAATTTTTGAACTAAAATCGATATTTAGATAAAATCATTTTTTTTAGCAAAAAAGGTCATACATTTTTCTAGAAAAATATATGAAAAAACAGTTTCTGTTAAACATTTGGCACCAAAACATTTCGAAATTTATTATTTCAGTTACAGACTAACTTAGTCTGTGTTAGTCTAATAACTATCTGGTCAACATGTTTTTTTTTTGAAGATATATTTTTTTTTGTGTTATACAGATAAGGACGAAAAGTTTTTACAGTTTTCAACACAGTTTAAAAAAAACATGTAGGTGTCGCCTCCTATAAGTAGTAGCTAACATCGAAATCGAATTTCGCATATCAAAAAACACACATCGACACAAATTTTTATCTATTATCCATGTTAATTCAGAAATTATTTGAAAAAAAAATGAAATGTGTACACCCTTATTGTATCTCCGAAACGAAGCATTTTAGGAAATACATTTATAGGAACGTTTTACTTATATTTCTCTGCAGAATATAGGTACTGCCGAAGTGTCTCCATTATAATTTGAACTACCCTGTATATTATACTATACTGGTCAAAAAATTTCAAAATACTGAGCATAATTTTGATATTTTTAGAAGTTCGTCCACCAACATTAAAAGGAAAACCTATAGTAGTAGATTTCAGTATGAGAGTTGTCGATATCAACTCAATAAACGTTGAAGACATGGATTTTAGGTATAAAAAAGTATATTTTGTGTTAGAATTTGTTTTAGAATAAGCCTGGCATGTGCAGAAGCACATTTGGTTCAAATTTTACAGTTAAAAACCAATTAATAAAATTTTAATTCATTCTATATTCTTCTTTAACAAAAATACAGAATGGACATGTTTTTGAAGACTCAGTGGACAGATGCTAGAGTGAGGATACCCGAGGAAATGTTTGAGTATGGCGATGATTCTGTCACTTTGCCGTCTCAGTTTTTTGACAGCTTGTGGCAACCCGACCTGTATTTCCTCAACTCCAAAGTTGTTGGTAAGGAGGCAATTACATCAGAAAAATACGTAAACTTTGAGGCTCTCTGGCATACAAATATTAAGTGCCAATATTATACTATATTAAAATAAGATAAAAATCCAACAACGTTCTGAATTGTATAAAGGAATCTAAAAAGTACCATACGATAAAAAAACGGCGTCAGAGACGGCTGGGAACGACAATCGATGATAATTTTGGCGAAGTCAAGCCCTAGACGCTGTTTACTTGGCCCGTACTGCCAGTTGGTCTTAAGAAGGTTGTAATTTAATAATAATTTTTTGGAAATAGATTTGTGTCTCTGGAAACGTTCTATCCTTTTTTAATCTTTCTTTTTTTTGACAAATTTTATATCAAATTTTAGTAAATAACGTTTAGAGATTGACCTCGCCAAAATTATCATCGATTGGCATTTCGCAGCCGTCTTTGATGCCGTTTTTTTTCGATCATACGATAGTTATGACAACAAATCATCTTTTCCTATACTATAAATTTCTATTAATCTAATATTTCTATAAAATTTGGCAACGTTGCAAGATTGTATCAACAAATATCTAAAAATCCTCTAAGTATATCTATTTCTCTGAATGTTACAAACCGATTTTTTCTATTTTCTTACTGAGAATAACTATATATTTTTCAGAAATCGCAACTTTGACACACAAATTCTCATCCGTAACGGTTTATAGAAACAAAACTATCCAATATTCTGCTAGAATGCATGCTATAGTAGCTTGCCAAATGGAGTTCTACAGTTATCCAATGGATACACAAATCTGTCCCATATCCATAGAAAGTTGTAAGTAAAAATCCAAATTTTTTTTACGCAAATATAGTTTTTTATACAGGGTGAGTCTAAAATAAGTGCATATATTTTTAGGGGTAGTATATTTTGAGCCCAGAAATACAATTATGATTTTTTTTCTTGAAAAAAAAACAAAATTTGGAATTTTTTTAGTTAAAAAACATAATTTGTTGATAATATGGCAACAGAGGTAGTAGATTAAATTTACAAGAAAGAAAATCCAGAAAATATCCAGTGGTTCTCAAAATTCTAGCAAAAATCATTTTTTTTTGGAAATCTTCAAAGTGAAATATTCCGGTTATTTTGGATTTATATGAAAAACGGTATAACTGAAAATATTTGCATTTACTTAAGATTCACCCTGTATAGTTATTTACCATTATGTCATGTTCAAACAATTTTTTTATAGTTTCATATAACAGCAAAAAGATGATACTAAAATGGACAGGCCTGGGGGTTACTATAAGTCCAGAATTAAAACTTTTACAGTACAATATTTTGCAACCACTCCAAATGCACCAAACCCATGCAGTCACCAGTGAAAAAAATGGTACAAAAAACCTTTAAAATACCATATTAACTCAAAAAAAACTAATTATATTATAGGAAATTACTCTAGATTAGTTGTTTTCTTCAAATTTGAGAGACAAATCGGTCATCACTTGATCCAGACTTTTGCACCATCAACACTAGTGGTTGTATTGTCTTGGTTCAGTTTTTGGTTGGATTTGGATGCTATTCCTGGTAGGATTACTCTTTTAGTGACATGTCTCTTGACTTTGGTGACAATGTTTACTGGATTGAGAACAGATATTCCAGCAGTTGCGTATGTTAAAGTAAGTACATCTTCAATGAAAGAAATGAAGTACAGGTTGGTCGAAATTGGTCTGTTTTAACAGAGAAAACCTATTTCCTGACTAGAGAGAGCAAAACCGACATAGATGTCATGGGCTCGATTTCTGAGAAACCTTTAATGGCGTAAACCGCCTGTTGATATTTTCACTGCCAACTGAGATACTGGGTCTTTTTGAATTTTTTACCATTTTGAAAATTGCCCATAACTTTTTTATTTTGCGGAATAATAAAATTCTGTAAAAACGTTATTAAGACACTTTTTAGGCACAATCCAGTGGCGTAGTCAGTTTTTTTTTCTATGCTTGCTCTTTTTGTCAAATTGAAAGGGTTAAACGGCAGAATTTTTTTAAGTTCATAACCAACTACGATTTCCATTTAAAAAACTATATTTTTTATTATTTCAGACTAAAAAAACAAGTACATATAGAAAAAACTGACTAGGCCAATGGATTGTGCTTAAAAGGTGCCTTAAGAAGGTTTTTACAGAATTTTATTATTCCGGGAAATACAAAAGTTATGGGCAGTTTTCCAAATGGTAAAAAATTCAAAAAGACTCCGTATCTCGGTTGGCAGTGAAAATATGAACAGGCGGTTTACGCCATTAAACGTTTCTCAGAAATCGAGCCCATGACATCTATGTCGGTTTTGCTCTATTTTGACAATCAATAACCAGCCGTGGCGGCTTCACCAGCGAACGCCGAGCTCATGATCTACCAAAGTATAAAGATATGCTTTGCCATAGGTAGGATTTCAGAGGGGCCCCACGTTTTTATTTTAGTCTAATATGCCTAAAAGCTATTCTGCCTAGTACTAAAATATTTCTGAACTAGAAGTTCAAAATACCTAATTGTTATTATTATTTTCTACAGAATAGCAGAATATTTCAAGTACTGATGGTAAGCCAACGTCATGTTGTGCTATTAACCTGGCATCATGTTGCTCAGGTGTTTCTGTTGCTAACCGTTCTCTTCGTTTCTGTAGTCGACTATAGGTTTCATTTTCACTTTCTTTTGCACGTTTCGTTCTATACTTTTCTTTCGCCTTTTCGAGCCTTCTTTTTCGTTGTGTAGCAGTTTCGTTTTTATTTTTGTTTTTTTTTTATTGTTTCCATGATGTTCCCACGAGTAATGGACATTTTAACGGTCGACCCCCCCAGAGGTCCAGTAGAGGGGCAAGGCTATAATATACAACAAGAGGCGCCCAATCTTGAGGGGAAAACGCTTGCGACATTACATTTCTAGCCACCCTAATGCCATGCAGTCCTCAGCACGTTTTAACCTATTACCTTAACTTGGGTGGTAAAGCTACCGCTAACTACGTAGGTACATCTAATCACCTATTTTTTTTATCTGTCCTTCTAACGTCACACAATCTTGAACACACCTGTTCTGGACACGACTACTCATGCCCTCACCTAATACGCCATTTTGTAACGACGTCCATCTTGGATTTTAAATTTTGTCATAATCACAGTATTCTACTAGTGTAGTCCTTTCATTTGATACCCATTTTGAGGGGGTTGTGGAAAAATATGAAATCCGCCATTTTGTACCGGCGGCCCTCTTAGATTTACAATGTTATTGATATTACTATATTGTATTGTCATCGGAACTAAAGGTGTGTACCAAATTTCAGATCAATCTGACAACAGGAAGGTATTTAAATTTCAATTTCTAATTTTGACCCAAATAAACAAACAAATAAATACCGTACGGGTCGAGCTAAATAAAACCGTTTAAAAACATATTTTTTGAATAAAATGTTTTACATGAATTTCTCTATCAATAAATTTCATAGACTTGGTTATCAAACCGCGTTCCCGTAGATTACTTAAATACCTACAAATTTTCTAAAAAAATAAAAATTAACACATTTTTTGAATACAACAAAATAATATTAACTAAACAAAACTAGAAATCGTCATTTTTACTGCATCACAAGCAAATAAAAATTAATACCTAGCTAAGAGTCATAATTCAGGATTTCTCTGGGGGGTGCCCAGCAGTACCAGAGGGGGGCGACACCCCCGGGCACCCCTGTAGTTAAGCCAATGCAAATAACCTGGTCGTCAGCGAATTGCAAAGTGTATAAGCAATAATCTTCACTTATTGGTATGCCCATGCCTCTACACTTGCTTTTCCACTGCTTTTTAAAGCCCTTTTACTTGGTTGACGTATATTTTGAATAAAGTTTGTGACAGACAACACCCTTGTCTTAACCCTTTTGATATTTTAAATGGTTTTGAAATTTGATTTCCAGTTTTAATTGAGGAACAAGAATTTTTTTTTATATCTTTGAATTGAACTGAACGAGAAATTTTTGCAATATTAAAAATACTTAAGAAGATCTCTTTTAGGCTTTAGATCTCTGGATGGCAGGCTGTATGATCTCCGTTTTTGCCGCCTTAGGTGAATTTGTAATCGTCAAAGTTTTTCAGGGAAAATACATCTCTTTAAAACAAAAGGAAACTGAAAGAGCCATGGTAAAAACTTGTTTTCCATTTTTTAAACATTTTACTTTAATTTTTTGTACTAGGAAACTGCCATAACTCCATGGACCACTGATTTCAATCCAGTAAAACGTAGACGCAGCACTATTTATTCCAGGGTTGGGAAAAAAGGCTGTATCACCGTGTATTGGAGAACTGTAAGATATATCTGAATAAATCTATTTTTTCTACAAGTCTAGAGAGACAAATTTATTTTTAGGATAACGGAAAAATCAAAATAATGTGGCGGGAAATAGACAGGATAGCCAGGATTGTTTTTCCAGCTCTGTTTTTTATTTTTTGTGCTCTGTACTGGTCTGTGTTAATGATAGGCAGCAAAAACATCAATCAGGCACACTAAAAAGCTGAAATTATTAAAATTATTTAATAAAAACGATTTAAATTTATGGCAATATAATTTTATTCTAAAACTACTCATATACGAGAAAATATGTCTGATAACTAGCTGTATGAACTGCTGGTGGCTTTAAACAATGTGTCTGACTACGCTACTGATCAATTTTGTCACACGCCAAAAATAAAATACTTCAAGTATCGTTAAGAAATCTTCGTTATGTTAATTTTTTTGAAGATGCCGCCAAAAACCCGGCCAATAACCACACCACTGACATAATTCCCCACCAATCAAATCACAATACTCACGTTTTACTCGATCTGGCAGGAATTTACCGAAATAAAAAAACTTAAATAATTCATTTGAATGAAACTTTAAGAGCCTTCATTCAAAAGTATTTCTTCTGATACTCTTTAATGATAAAATATCTTAAACTAGCTTATAATTACGTAAAAATTCGGATGTTTTTTGTGGGTTACATCGGTCTGAACTCAGACTAGGTCAAGTTTAACTAATTTACAATTACAAATAACCAGAATTAAACTTGAAATATATTTAAATGCGTTTGGGGTTCTTAAGCTGATGCCACAATGACATAATCGTCAACTATAGCAGTTTAGGTCATTATTCGTCACACCCGCACGGTGTAGCGGTTAACGAAACATCTCTATCGACCGCAGGAATACTGTAGAATGATCCTTTGCCGCTCTCGCGCAAATAGTATCGAACTAAGCCACCTAGAAAAGAGATTCCCACTGCTAAATTCGTACCACTGTTCCTGCGACCGGCAAAAGTGATTCTAGTTATAACTTAACGTGATTTTTTGGTGTAAAAAAAGTGTTTTTGGATTTGAAAAATGTCAGAAAGTAAGCCTGATACAGTTCCCGGACTGGGATTCAAAGATAAAGAGAAGGCTCTGGATACGTTGAAGAATCTAGAAGGCAGAGATCCGGATTACCAGAAGTTGGCGATCAAAGGGCTGATTGGTCGTGCCAAAAGAACCATAACTCGTAAGTTTCCATGGTATTTATTATTAATCTGTGGATATTCTAGAGAAAAAATGGATTTATGTTTGAATTATATGTTATTTTGTTTTAATCTATAAATATCCTGATGAAATATAATAATATATGCGTTAAAAATAGTTGTGTATGTTTGCTTCTCTAAACGTGCCAAAAATGCATTTTAGAAGTATTTTTTCTATTTAGTTAAGTTTGATGTTTTTTATTCTTATTGTATGAATAATTCTGGAGAAATATCAATACTTTGTGCATTAGTGCTTCATTTTTAGACCGATTTTGTATGTGTATTTTAATAAAAAATCGTACCTAAATTCTATATAAAACCTGCTCAGTCTAAATATATTGGTGACTCTATCAAAATAGTTTTCTCACTAACACCAGCGCATAGTTTAATGTAAAATGAATTATTAATAAAAATGTATGCTAATTTCTATTTTGAGAAGGTCGACAACACTTGATCGACTATTTGTTTACGAATCCAGTGGCGTAGAGCATTCTAATTAAAAGACAGTGTAAACAGTCTTTTTTTATTGGGGTGTAAAAAATAGAAAAAAAAAGAATATTATAATGACTATATACAGGGAGGAGTCTATAGAAAGTTTTAACTGCTTTAACTATTTTTTGCAGAAAAATTATTGAAAATTTTATATTTTATAATTTTTTGGGAATTTAAAAAAGACTTTTTAGGGTCGCAGATTCATAGTCCTGAATTTTTTTGACGGCGTTATTAAAACATGGCAATGTTGCCACCTCCTACGTTCCCTACAGTGGTATTATAAAGAAAAAAACACACTGTACTTAGTTTTTCACACTCTAATTAATATACCGGGTGTGTCTCAAAAGTGGCTCAACCCCTATATCTTTTTTATTTTTTCAGATAAAAAAACGAGATTTGGTATGCTAGTATATGACACAAATTAGGATTGATTGACGTACTCAATTTTTTTCGGTCACTTCCTGTTTCACCGGAAATGACCACAACCTTTGATTTTTAAAACAGTCAGTTAATGTAGTTTGAATACTGGAATCATATTAATTGGTCCTCTTTAACAAATATTTAAACAGTTTTTTTTATTTTTTAATGAAATAAACGAATTATATCGACAATATTAGTATCTGTACTCTTCAAAAATTTGGTACATCTTTAAAAATAATCTAAAATGTCAATAGTCCATGGGTATATTGATAAATAAGTTCTAAATTACAAGAAAATGCATTTTATACGGAAACTTAAAGAGATAGGTAAAAAATGGTATAATACAATCTGATAGACAATTTAATTGTGCATCTGATTCTCCTAAAATATACAGGGCATTCCATTTAAATTAAAGAAGTTATTGCTGTTTGAAGCTAATAATTATTTAAAATAAATTTTTAGACACTCTGTATAAGGTAGTATTATTTTTATTATTGCAACACAATAACTGATCAGTAAATAAACTTCAGTAAATATTTAGTATTAAAAACTTTGATACCCTTGGAGAAATGAAGCCTTAAAATTTTTACTGCAATTTCACAAAATTGAAAATATTTCAAAAACGGTAAGGTTTAAGTATAATAAATCTTAATCAAATTTACCTTTATTTTAATCGTAGAAACTAAAACTGTAATAATATACAGGGTGTTCCATTTAAAAAAAATACAACTTTGATATTTTTTACTTATTTGGGACACTCTGTATCTTGTAAAATTATTTTTAAATTGTACCTCTAATAGTCCTTCATCGAACCCAAAACTTACAATTTGTAAAAATCTCATCGTTTAGCTACAATACTCCGTGTCGTATGTGGTGAACAACCCTGTAGAAAATGGCATTCTGAATAGAATGACATATCATATGTCAACTTTTGACATTTTTGCTTAAAAAAAGAAATACCAAGTATGTGATACCAAATTTTTCATACAGGGTGATTCAGACTTCCGAAAAAGCTTTATATTAGATTTTTGGTTTGTGAATTTTATTTCAATTTTTTGACATAATATGGAGGCAATAGTAACGCACATTTTTAAAATATTTTTCTCAACATACAGAGTGATTCAAAGATGTTTTCAAACCAAAGCTGTATATTTTTAAATGGAATAATACCGGGTGGTTTTTAGAAATATAACCGCTTTTAAACTAAATTTACTGCTTACTTAAAGCTCTCTTAAAATTTTAAATTTTAAGAATTTTAAAACATTTTTATGGGAAGTACTGTATAATAGTAAGATTCTCTTTTCGCCATATTACAAAGTATTTCCAAATTGTTGATGAAATAATTACAAAAAGTATATATTTTTAGTTTACACGGTATTAATTATATGAAAAAATATATATATATTTTTTTAATTTTCAGTGACCAAAGACAAAGACAAGCTACAAAACATAACCGACGCTATGAAGATCTTCGAAGACTGGCTAAAAGACTACGAATACAAAAACCTATCAAAAGAAAACAGAGCTTATCTTCCTCTAGCCTCAGTAGAGGCCCTATTACCTCTCAAAGAAAAATACGAACTCAAAAACGAACTGGTCGAAAAATTCTTGAAAGCCTACAAAGAAAAAGCTAAGGGAGATTACAAAAACTTAAGAACCGTATCCAGCGGAGATGAAAAACCAACCTGGGACATCGTCCGGAACCAGGAATTGAAGAAAATCTGGAAAGGATTTGAAGAGAGTAAACCAGATTTATGGAACGATGACGATCTTCCAACTAAAGAACATTTGGAGCTGATTTTGTGGGCTTACAGTCCTGAAGCAAACAAAATCAAAAAGAATCTGTCAAGCTACGAGGAAAAATTAGGAAGTTTGAAGATTTCTAGTGATAATGAGAATGATAGTGATGAAGAAAAGCCTAAAGAAAAGAAGAGAGAGTCTAGCAAAAGGAAATCCGAGGGTAGTAGCTCAAGCAGTAGCGGTAGCGATGAGGAAAGTCCTAAGAAAAGAAGCAAGAAAGATTGAAGAATTGTACTTATAGTGCCATTGTTTCAAAATAAAATTTGTGTACCTAACAGGGAAGCAGGATTCTTCCCCAAAATACAAGAATTAATTGTTACTAAATATTTGTTATTTTCATTATTTGTATTTTTCTAAAACTTGTACGAAAATTGTAAAATAAACAGTACTTGATAGTAGCTAATTGGTTTTATAAATACCGGGTGCTTCTCAAAAGTGGTTCATCCTATAACTTTTTTATTTTTTTCAGATAAAAAAGGAGATTTTGTATGTTATTATATGACATAAATTAGGATTGATTGACGTATTCAAAGTTGATATATGATATGTCATCCTATTCACAGTGTCATTTTTTTATCGAAGAAAGAAAGAACAAAATAAAATTTCTTTAAAGCCATATTCAAACAAAATTCATACTTTATTTAAAACAATACAAAAAGTCTTATTATTAATACAAATATGTACATTTTTTTTCTATATACACTAAATCTTAGTTCGTTTCAATTTTCTTTATTGTCGTTGTATTTCCTCATTCATTTACTCCAAATCCTCCTTTAATAATATTCTCTAAAGGTTCCACCTTATTTATGACAAACTTTTGTCGAATCGTCGTCAAAAATCATAATTCAGTCGTCTCTAGCTTCCTCGGTTGTGGAATTGGAGCAGGCATGCTGTGGTAAATGTTTTGCTGCCTTACGAATTGCTGATCCTGCCCCGAATCCACCGGAGATGATGTAGTTCGGTCAATGGACACGCAGTCATCACAAACAACGTTTTCATCCAGAGAATCGTGATCCGACGTGTTACTAAAAAAAGAACTTATCCCATTCATTTAGGTATAATATAATAAAACTAAATTCAATCATACCTCACGTCCTCTGAGTTCTTGTACCACTCGTTTTCGTAGGCTTTCAACCATATGGGGTTGCTACCTTCCATACTGTGCTTATTTGTGTTAGGAACCCTTCCACTTAATATACTCAGACCTCTTCCATCTATCTCCGAGTCTGCGCGAACTAAAACAACCATACAAGTCAGCAATAAAAATAAATTAAAAGAAATTATTGCTTCACCATAAGCTGTGGCGGTGGCAGCCTTCAATTTCCTCTGGTAACTTTGTCTTTGGTTGATACACAATGCCAAACATAGCAACAATAACAAAAGAAGAAATAAGGAAGTAGCTGAAAGCCAGAAAGTGGTCCCAGCACTCTGCATTTTGGATCTCAAAGCAAGACTCCCTCCAGGTTGTGTATCCAGAACATTAAAATCCTAAAAATAGTATAATAACATTAAATAAAAGAAAATTAACTGTATGGAACGTCTTACTTTAAACAAAGCGTCAAGTCTTTCAGTGTTTTGGTCTACCAATCTCAAAACATCTCCTACTTCCAAAATAGAATTGTCTTTCCTGTCGACCAGATGTAAATACAAGTCAGTTCTAGTCTTGTCAACTGTCCCATCGTGATTGGCATGAATTCTGAACTCGTCTATGTTAACTATAGCACCAGTAACATTACCTAGCACACTAAAAATGAAAGTAACTTATTAAAAAAACTTTTTCATACTTTATACCATAACTTACTCTCTGAAAACTTCGATTTTTTCTCTTAAATCTGGTGCATGTTGTCTCAGCACAAATCTAACCCTCTGATCCTCTCTGAGTAAGTAAATAAATACTCTAGCAGTGTCTTGGAGTCCTCCAGTATCATTAACAACCACCATAAAGTCAAAGTATCCTTTCATGCCTTGCTGGGGATCGAAATTTAACTGGACTTCTCCAGAATCTTTTTCTACAATGAACGGGACTCTGGAAAGACTATCCAGACCTTCTGTAAGAGTCATTTGGACTTTGCCAACGAGGTAATATGATAAAAGAGCGTTTTGACCGTCGTCTGGGTCTTCTGCTTTGACTTGCATGAACTTGGTGCCGAAGGAAGTTGCAGTGCTGACACCTCCAGTGAAAACTCTTCTGGTAAATCTTGGAGCATTGTCATTGACGTCTTTTACTCTCACTATGACCTTTAATTGAGTGTCATCGTTTACGTCAAAGAAATGTTCGACTGAAGGAGGATGTGAACAGTCTTCTGTGGCTTTGACCAATAGTAAGTAAAGATCTTGTTCTTCCCTGTCGAGTGGTTGGGTTACTTGGACCGTGTGTTCAAAAGGATGTAAATAAAATATTTCGTTTTCATTCCCAGCAACAATAAAATAACATACAGGAGCAGGAGGTCCTTCATATTCCAGCTCATCACGATCGATAGTTTTTGGGAGAGTCTTAATTTCAATTCCTGGATCTTCGTTTTCTGAAAAAAAAAACACTAATTTATTCATCAAAAACTTCAGAATTTATTTGTAATTTACCGGTAAATTCTATGACATATTCATCTTCAACAAACTGGGGTTGGTATTCATTAATATCACTAACATAGACGGTTAAATCCAGGTCAGAACTTAAAGGTGTGGGCATGCCTAAATCGTAAGCTTCAACACGAATCTAAAAATAAGTTTTCAGAATCTGAATGATGTTTAATAACTTTTTAAGGTAGATTACGTCAAATATTTTTTGTTTTTTCCTGTCTAAAGGTAATCGTAGCTCTAATATTCCTGAAACAGCCTGTAGAGTGAATGTTCTCCAATGACCAGCTGGGTCAGTCTTTAGTTTGTATCTAACAGCCCCATTACGACCTACATCTTCATCTGTGGCTATTATTTGCACTAAGGCACTGCCCACTGTAGCATTCTAATATAACAAAAAATAGTATTACATTAATAATGATATTAAAATATTTTAAACCTACCTCTGGGACACGTAGAGTCGAATTATGTGGAGGAGATACAAAAACTGGAGGATGGTCGTTATAATCCATCACGCATATCCTTACAGCTTCTTCAGTTAGTAAACTAGGGTTCCCTAAATCCTGAGCCCTAAGTATCAAGGTATAGTTCCCATGTCGACCCCTCAAAGAACTTCTAGTTCTGATCTGAGACGACCACTCAGACACCTGGTACAATTCAAATAAATCTTCAGTGTTTCCATCGGATATATCGATTATAACCTGGCCATTTGGAGTGTTGGGGTCATCATCATCTGAGGCATGGGCTAGAGTAATGGGCTGGTTGACTTCCTGGAATTCTGTGATGTTAATACAGCCTGTTTCGACTACTAGTTCTGGTGTGTTATCGTTTACGTCCAAGAGAGTGACACTAGAAAGGAAATAAATTAAATAAAACAATATATTAATGTTGCAACATATACTTAAGATGTTTAAAAGCATTTCTGCTTTCTCTAGCGTTGAAACCATATTGATAGTTATCCCAAGCTTCTATAATAAGCATATAGGAAGCTCTGTCTTCTCTGTCTAGTTCTTCAGCTACCCTTAATACTCCACTGTCACTGTCAATGGCAAATTTTCCTTGAGACGATACTCTATCCAGGATATAAGTTATTTTACCATACTCTCCCGAGTCAGCGTCTGTAGCTCTAATTGTACTTATTTTACTGCCTAAAAATACACGTCTATTTGAGATCTTGATAACCTAGAATACACGATATATCAAATAACAATTATGTGCTAACCTGGCTGAATATTTTCAAGTATAACGAGTGCTTTGGGTTCAGGATCAAATTCAGGATTATTATCGTTTTCATCTAGAATTTGTACAAGGACTTCTGAGCGTGTTGAACGAGTGGGTACTCCAGAGTCGATGGCCTTAATCTTTTACACAAAAGAAAAAAGAAATTTGTTTATTTTTAAAACAACTAGACTCAAAAGACTTACAGTAAAATTTAGCCATTGATGAGTTTCTCGGTCGATCTTGCTAGCGACTACCAGATCTCCAGAACTGCTATCCAAGTGAACTAAATTGTTATTCAGCTGTTTGCCCTCGATCTTGTAAAATATTGTTTTGTTTTTGTCTGGGTCTATTGCTCTAACTGTGCCGATTAAAATACCATTCTTGCCGTTCTCTTGCACGCTGAATTTGTAGAAGGGTTGGGTAAACTTAGGGTTATTATCGTTAACATCCTCAATCTGAATTTTAAAAGTAGCTGAAAAAGTTATATCATAAATACCAAGAGAGAAAATTCATTAATACTTTAAAAATAAAGATACCCGAGTCTATTTGTTGTCCTGTGTCAGAATTCTCATCTGAAACGATCACACTGACCCGGAACATATCAATTTCTTCCCTGTCAATCTGTTTGGCAACGCTTAGGACTCCAGAGGAAGGTTCCAAATTGAAATAACTAACGCATTTAATATCATCAGCTTTTAAAAGAATATCTCGCTCGTTTTTTGCTTGACAATTGTCTTGGTCGAGCATGTAAATCAACTTGGCTGTTTCGTCTGGATCTCTAGCCCGTATTTTGGCTATGACAGTTCCAACCTAAATATTAGAATACATAGAAAGATAACAAAGTTAAACTAAACAAGCTTACAGGGGTGTTCTCTTCCACTGACAAATCTTCTATATCCAGAAGCTCAGGATTCTTATTATTTACATCTTGAATCAGAATTTCTACTGTGACAGCTGCGTGGAGTTGATTTTCGCCTTGACCGCCATCCAGAGCCAAAACGTTTAGAGAATAGAGGCTTTTTCTAGGTTGTGACAGATCTGGATCCAGATTTGCACCACTTGCAACTGATATAACACCTAAAAAATACTTTTATATATCAAGGAGGTCCCGAGTGGGCAATAATATGCCGGTCAAGCTTAATCACGTGACTAAAATTCTCAACTACCTGTTTCAGAATCGATCACAAACTTATCAAGGGCTCCTGTTTGAATCCGGTAAACTATTCGATTGTTTGGTGACGATCCATCCAGGTCAAATGCTTCCACTTGTATGATTTGGGTACCACCTTCCGCGTCTTCTGGTATAGAAGCATTGTAAAAAACATAATCAAAGAACGGAGCATTGTCATTTACGTCTTCTATGTATATATGCAAAGAAACCTCGTTGTAGAGGCTCGGAGTCCCGTGGTCTCTAGCTCTGACAGTAAGGTAAAGTATTCTGACATTTTCCTCTTCTGGTCCTTCGATGTTTTCAAAGTCAATCGGGTGCTTGGGTTTGATTATGCCGGTTACAGGGTCTATAGTGAAGTTTTGGTGGAGTTCTCCGAACAGTAGGTATTCAATTTCGCTGTTTTTTGTACCTAGTTAGAAGAAAAATCATTTATACAGGGTAATTCTAGAATTTGAGAACTTTCGCAGAATCGTAACCTTATTCTATTTTATTTTGTATTATTAAAATTTTTGTCTAGTGTTGTTACTTTATTGGTAAATTCAAGAATTTATAGAATTTGTTATGATTGTACAAGGTTCGTCAAAGAAATCAACAGACGAGGATTATTTTCAAATTTAGTTTTAGTTCTTTTTTTTCGTCTAGTCAAGGAGCTAGCCTATGTCACGTGTGCCGTTGTATGTCCCCTAAATTTTGTTGCGGGGATTTGTTAAGCACCTCTAGGAGTAATTGACAAAATTGGTCACATGGTCCAGAACATGGTCATTCGGTCGCCATATTTAAAAATGGCTGCCAAATTCTAAATTTTTTTTTGACTATATTTCCGTAAAAAGTGCTCCGATTTTGCATTTTTAAAGATCGATTTACTCCTCTTATGAAGAAAAAAATTGTAAATAATTTACTGACAAATTTATTAGTTATTCGGATATTTTTAACATTTCCACTTAGCGGAGGAATCTGGAATATTTTCTTTAATTTTATTGAAATTACACATTCTTGTGAGCCTCCTGTCAAAACAAAGAATTATTGCAGTCATACTTTGTTGATTGGGTATCCCCGAAAAAAGATTCAAAATATCACTGCATCTATTCCCATTTACCTGGTTGGCGTTGTTAAAGATGGTAAACCAAGGTGTTTCAGTATAAAGAATGGCAGAATTGAAGAAGGACGTACGTTGGAATATATGAAACCCATATTTCTCACATGACACTGACTACAAACGTAAAGAACGTAGTTATTTGTTCTACCGATACTGATGTTTTTGTTAGTGCACTTTACCACTAAAAAATTACGACAACAGGTGGACCACAAAAATGACAGCATGGTACCCACGAGGTAGACCGAGGTAGAACCCACGAGGTAGAACTGGTAGAAATGCTGGAAGAACTGGATACAGCAGCTAGAAGAATAGGCCTAAATATGAACTACACTAAAACTGAGATCATAACAAACACAGATGAAAACATAACAACCAGAATAAACCAAGAAAAAATAGAACAAGTTGAAGAGTAATTCATCTGGGACAAATGATTAAACTGAAAAAGGAAAACCAAACAGCTGAAATAAAGAGACGAGTAACACTGGCCTGGGCAGCATTTGGAAAATTAAGTTACATTTTTAAAAACAAAAGATATCCACAGTACCTCAAAACCAAAGTATATAACCAATGTGTACTCCCTGTACTTACTTACGGATCCCAGACCTGGACACTGACAAAATCAAATATGGATAAGGTAACAAAATCTCAAAGATCTATGGAAAGACAAATGCTACATGTAAGGCTGGCAGATAGAAGAAGGAATGAGTCGATCAGAGGAAAAATTAAAGTAAGGAATGTTAGAAGTGAAGTAGCAAAATTGAAATGGAAGTTTGCCGGTCACAATGTCAGACAGAAGGATGCTCGATGGAACAAATGCATCGTAAACTGGAGGTCCTGGGAGAATAGAAGAAGTAGAGGAAGACCTCAGATGAGATGGGCGGACGATCTGAGGAAACATGCAGGCACAAGATGGATGAGCACGGCAACAGAAAGGGAAGAGTGGAAGAGATTGAGGGAGGCCTATGTCCAACGATGGACCGAAGAGGCTGAATAGATAGAAAGATAGACCCAAGAGGAATAAAGAGATTTAGAAGAAGACCGAACCTGAGATGGGACCATGATATTAGGAAATTAGTAGAGATAACTTGGGCACGCATAGCCAAAATAGTTAATAATGGGCCTAACTAAAAAGAGAGTATCTAAATATGTGAGGAAGGCTGCACCATAACTGGAAATGGTTGCTGAAAATGATGATGATGAAATGCCGATGATTTCGCTTCTAGCAAGAAGCTGGTTGAAATTGTGTCTTGACTATATTTTTATTAGTATATCCAGTTCGTAATGCGTAATAGTCATAAATTTGAACCTTAAGGTACCTCTACCAAATAGAGAGAACAACTATGATCAGGTGATAAGGATTTGGCAAAACAAAAACATCAGATTTCTCTAACAGATTGTAAAACTTTTGAACGCGGATTGCTTTATGCAAAACAAAACTTAGTTAAATTAAAAATAAACGTTAGAATGATATATATCCGGCTAAACTGGAACCTGGATCACCTTTGGATGTAATTCCAGACCTGAATCTTTTAAAATACCCGATTACCCTGTTTTAAATTAACAAAACATAGCTTTACCATTCAGATCAGCATCTCTAGCCTCAACTTTAAGCACTGCCTCGAAGTTTTTCTTGTTTTCCAGTAACCTAGCTTCGTATTTAGTCTGAACAAACACCGGATTGTTGTCGTTTTCATCCTCTATGTTAATAATAAGCTGTACGGTGTTTCTGTTTCCATTTCCTAAGTCGTCTCGGGCTTCAACTGTCAAATAATGTCTTGAGACTTGTTCTCTGTCCCATGAGGGTCCTCCATCCAGTTTTACAGTGATAATTCCAGTCACTGGATGGAGGTTTAATCTAAAAAAAAGATTCTTTAATGAAACTAAAACATTTTTTTTGTTATTTCTTCATACAAATTCGAAATACTTCCAGCAATGTTAGTATATCTCACACCAGTTGTGCCAAACGATCCAGAATCATCATCAAGCGCTTGCACCCAGGCTACGGTAGTACCAACCTCGCAATTTTCTGGCACCCAAACTTCATAAGAAGTCTTTGTAAATTCGGGATAGTTATCGTTTCTATCTAAAATATGTACTATAACTGGTACTTCACTGGATTTAGGACTGACTTTAACTACTTCCTTCGCTACAATCGTGAAGTTTAGTAGTTTTATTCTTTCGTAGTCCAGTGCAGTACTGTTTTTGACTTTAATAGTGAATGTAGCTTCGTTGGTAGCTTTGTTAGGGGTCAGTTCGAATAAATCTTTGGCATTTTTGACGTACATTTGGAAGGTACCGTTGATACCCTGGAATAAAGTGTTTTAGTTAGAGTTTTCATATAAGTTTTTGGAAATTCTGGACAAGTAAGGTCTGAAATCCTGGATTTATTTATGTAAAGTTTGTCTCATGAGAGAATATCTGATAGTGAGAGTTGTTATTTGTCATTTTAATTAAAAAATAAACTGTATAGGGTGAGTCAACGGTAAAGTAAAATCCATTATTACAGGTTTACAAAAAAATCCAGGTTTACAAAAAAATATTAAATATAAAAGGTATAGGGACGGATAAGTATACAGAATGCTTCAAATAAGTATGGCGAATATAACATATGTTTTTTTAAATGCAACACCCTATTTTTTATTTTATTTTTAGATTTTGCGTAAAATTCCATAACTTTTTTATATATAATGTTATATACCTAAAATTAATAGTTTTTGTTATATTTAAATTTCTTTAAACAAATGTTAAATTACAGTGTGGTAAAAAATTGTCAGTGATACCATTGCTTCTGAAGTTGGACAACTAAAATTTGGTAGGAGAATTTTATAGAGATATTGAAAAAGATATATGAAAAGATATTTTAGTTAGATGTTACAGGGTGTTCAAAATATATTTAGGAATTTCAACTACTTAAAATTAAGAAATTTCAACCCTATATATTATCATTTTTTCTGATAGACTTTACAAAACTCTTTAACTTTTATTAAGTATGTCATATAGGTACCTATTTTTAATAGTTTGCGATTTATTCCAATTTTTTCTGCCATTTTAATCATAGTTGGTGATCGAACCAAGTACCTCTCGCTCAGCAGAGGACACTGTAGACTACTTACTTGATCATAATCATAGACTTCTGGTAAAGAATTGCCTAGGAAAGTTAGAGGAGTGTTCTTTGGTGCATTTTCAGCAATTTCACATTCATAAAGTTCGCTTTTGAACGTAGGAACCTCGTCATTGACGTCAGTAATCATTATAGTCACTTCAGTACTTGCTGAAGCAGGTGGCTTGATTCTGCTTCCCACTTCTGTAGCCTACGATGGAAAATATGATTAAAAAACAAATCAAATTAAACATATAAAGGTTCAATTTACAATGATTTGAAGGATGTGGGAGTTTGAACCTAAAGGCATTGATTCTCTGTCCAAAACTGCATTAGTCATGACTTTTCCAGAGTTCTTGTCAATTTTAAAAGGATCATGACTTTGATCTATGTTGTTTGAAGCAATGGAATATGAGATTTTGTTGTCTATACCTCTGTCCCCATCAACGGCAGTAACTGTAACATTAATTAAGTGCATATACAGAGTTGCAACAAGTAAATGACTTAAGTCATTCAAATAATTAAAATCAAAAAAAGTAACTTTGTTCATATATTACTAACTTTTTCTATAAATAATGAGTTTTAAGTACCTTGAAGAACTACAGTACCAATAGGGCCATTTTCTTCTACCCTGGCTATAGGAATAACCTTTAAAAACTCAGGAGGTTGATCTTCAACGTCTTCAACCTTCACCAAAATCACTGCAGTTCCTGTATTAACACGTCCTTCTTTGGCCCTATCGACTGCCAGAACCTTCAGTTGATGTACTGTCTGTTTCTCATAGTTTAAACTACCTATAAGCAACATGTTTAGTTTGATGTATGATAGTGTTTTGAAACTGACCAATGAGTCTGACTATGGCTTTTTCTCCAACAGTACTGACGCTGAACAAGTTCCTGTCAACGTCAGCTCCTGGATGGTAGAGTACTTGACCATACGGACCTTCGTCAGCATCAGTGGCTTCCAGATGGGCTATGATGCCTGGAGGGGCATCTTCTCGAAGTAAAATTGAGGTTTGGTGGTTTTTGAACACCGGGGCGTTGTCGTTGACATCTTCTACCAATAGAAGAAGGCTCTGAGTGATGTAGTTTCCCGTTCCTAGCTTTCCATCAGTTAATGTAAGGACTAGAGCGTATTCATCTTTTTCCTGTGGGATTAAAAGGGCTAAATTATACTGTGTAGCATAAAAATTGCAACACCCAAGTGGTAGATAGTGGTGAATAATAAAATAAAATATTTCATAAATCACAATTATCGTGGTCCTGGTTTTGCAGATCTAACGATAATCTTGGTCTTGTTGTATGTGCAAGACCAATACTAAGATCACTCTTGCTTGTCAGTAAATGACATTATCTACGAATATAAAGATACTATACCTCTCTATCAAGTAGGGTGTTTAAATAAATATTGGCTTCGCTGTTCGATGTGCTTTCTACCACTATGACGTCACTTCCCGGGGATGATTGTACTCCAAATGATAGTCTGTCACTGTCAGGGTCGTAGGCCTTCAGTTTGTACAGCAGAGACCCTTAAATTTAATTTAACATTTTAATGTAACATTTTTAAACTGTCTCTATCAATATTTTAATAAAAATATCAAGAAAGGGGCATACATAATATCGTTCTAAATTAATTACTTCGGAACGAAACCATTATTTGTCAAACAAATAATAAATATCATAAAATAAGGCTCAGAAAAGCACAAAATTTCAAATTTCAATTCTTAGAGTGGCTCAATCAGAGAGAAAGTGAAGGAGCAGATGATTTTACTGAAAATTCCACACCTGTAATTTTTTACCAATCAAAACGTGTTTTTTTGACAAATCACCATGGCAACGGATAAATTTTAGTGAAAATTTCACACCTCTACTTTTTGACTAGTTACCACTTTACTTTTGACTAGTTACCACTTTACTTTTGACTAGTTACCATGGCAACTGAAAAGATTTCCGGAAATTTTTTCGAGGCGCCACGAAACTTTAGTGGAAATTTTTTGACAGTTGAAAAGGTAAACATAAGATCTACAATCATAATGTGAATGAACTACAATGTCTATATATTGAAATATTACCCATTTGAGTTTTAGCATTTGATGTAACTAAGGTTGGTAATATTTTTTATTTAAGGAAATATGTTAGATATACCTACATATGAATTTCTTCGAAATTGCCATGTTCTAAAAAATATAGTTCTGCCGCCTTTATTTAACTAAAGCTGGTATTTTTCGGGTGTTATCTGGTTTTATATTTTCAATTTCTTCTTTAATGACTTGTTGGTTTACTTTTCCAAATCGCGACATTTCGCTATACACTTCTTACTCTACGTACAGACGTTTTAAAACTAGTAATAGCTTAATGACAGAATCGCAAACAAAAATGACAAAACACATAATATGTCAAAAACATCAATACCTTGGCCAACTTAACAAATTGAAATTATTTTAAAATGTCATGTTGGATTAATTTTTTTTTTTCAAATTTAGGTGTGAAATTTTCTTACCGAATACCACGCAAGCTTAAATTATTCCTGGAAATTTTCTTTCGGGCACGAATATTTTAGGAAAATTATCCCTCGTCTTCGACTCGGGATAATTTTCAAAATATTCGTGCCCTCAAAAAAATTTCCGAAAATAATTTAAGCTCTTGTGATATTATAAGTGAAAATTTTTTCCTTGTGGATACCCAATAGCGAATTATACTGGAAATTTTTTGACGTTTATAATGACAGAATATCTTTTTGAGAGTCTGGTTTTTATTTGTTTACATGGTAATTTTGATACATTTCAAGCTCAGATAAAAGTTTGTAAACAGCTTTCATACGCTTGACTTCGATTTTCTAGTATTCGCGGGTGTCAACTGCTTAATCTCTTGGCGAATATTTTCTTTGCTTTCATGACCGAAGCGAAACATTTTTTTTAAGCCGTGCCGCTTGACAGCTTCAAAACTGAAGTAGTTTTTAGGTTTGGGTGTCACTTAGTTGTCATAGTAACTAAATAATCAATTCGACCAAAAATCGAAAATTACATTTTAATTATTTGATTTTCAAACACAATTTGGTGTGGAATTTTTTTACCGAATACCACACGAGGTCAAATTAAATCCGGACATTTTTCTAGTGGTATTACTAGTGAAAATTACATGGATTTGTTGATACAAATTACCAATATTTACTCTTGAGACCGTACACTAGTCTCCATGCACTAAATTAGAGAGAGAAAATAGAGAACGTTCGCTATTAATTTTAGTAGTTTCCATTTAAGGTCTTAATATTTAATGAACACTGTGAATTTAGATTACGATCTAAACCAGTCTCAAATACTAGTCTTTACTTTCTTTTATTATCTGAAAAAAGTGGGTTTCCATTTGAAATGGGTGGAAATAAAAAAAATGGGTTTCCATTTGAAAAAAAAAATATTTGTATAATTTCTTTGTCACTCAATTCCATGACAGCTGCGGCCATTACTAAAAGACATTTGAACAATTTAATTTTTGGAATAGATAGTCACATGTCTTCTCTTTATGTCACAGTGGCTGTGGTAATCACTATATTTGACGTTTAGGCTATACACATTTTTTGACAGGCAGTTTTTTCGTCCAAAAATTCTAAATAATTTTTTCTCTCAAAAACGGTTAACGTTAGGTATAGAGTGTTTAATATCAAAATTCATAAAATTTTACAGAGAATTTAACAAAAAAACAAACAAAAATTTAATAAAAAAGGGAACACCCATTTAAAATAAGAAAGTTGCTGTTATATTGAAAATATTTTTTAATCGATAGATCTCGTTGTGAAACAACGATGTGCAAAAATCTCCGATCTAGATATTGTAGTTCTCTAGAAGCTTCTAATGCACGCTCAGCCTGGAACACCCTGTATACGTTTATGATGACCTATGCCGAATTAATTAAAGCGGAATTCCATTTTCGGGTAAGTATGTAGCAGTGTGTACATGGCTGGTTAATGTTAACTACTGTTCTCTCGGACCTGTAGCGTTAGACAAACAAATTGTGCCGAACGGTACGTCCTCAGCCATTACGGTTTTCGTCCCACAAAATGTACCCGTTTCGCTACAATTTCTCGGTCTCATTAGCTACTCCAGTTTCTTTCATTCTAATGCCATTTTTATTTCACTTTGTTAAATCGTCCCTGACAAAAACGTGCCTCAAGCTTTTTATTTTCCATTTATAATGAAAGTTATTTGTCTATTTATCATGAAAAAAGAATAAAGCTTCATTCAGAACCTCCGAAATTAGAAGAATAAAAAAAGTTTGTCCTTCTAACTTTAATGTAAGCATTCAGAATTAAGAACGTCAAAATTAGTGGTAGTAACTTTCAATTAGTTGAAAAAATTAACAAACAAAAAAAAGTGGTATAAGTCCAATTAAAAAAAAATGGGTTAATGCGAATTTCAGTTAGATATACAGGGTGGTCCGAACTGTAATCCGGAAACCTCAGCAGCATATTCTGCAGATAAAAATAAGTAAAAAAGTTCGTATAAATGTATGTCCTAAAATGCTTAGTTTCGGAGATACAGGGTGTAGAAATTTCATTTTTATTTCGATTTTTTTCAAATAATTTCTGAAGTAACGTCAAAATTTGTATGAAAATTGGTATCTGGGAGTTTTGTGATATGAGAAATTTGATTTTCATGTCAATACGACTCCTACTTGTAGAGGGCGCCACCTACATATTTTTAACTGGTTTGAAAAGTAATAACTTTTTGTCCGTACCTGTATAAAACTACTGAGTAAAAATATACATTTACGACATTTTTACGTAAAAAGGTCTCTTTGTAAAAATCGCTACGAGTAATGGTCCTCGAGAAATTTGGAATCGAAATTATCAATACCTGTCTTCATTGTCATAAATTAAACATGTTGATAAATAGTTATTAGACTGAAATCATAAATTTTAAGTGTTTTTGTGTCAAAGTTTCAACAGAAACTGTTTTATCATCATTTTATCGTAGAAAAAATTATGCCTAATTTAAAAAAAATAAAATTTCCCGAATGTATTATTTCAGTCAAATAACTATCTACTCAACGTGTTTAGGGAATGCAATCCCGCGCCAAAATCTCAATCCCGCAAACCCGCGGGATTAAAGCAATCAATCCCGCGGATCCGCAAAATTGCGGGATTGTAAACAATAAATGCTCTTCTTTTCTCTCTCCGATTTTGGGATGGGGTTTGGACCAGGTTTTAGACGCGTCTATTGTGATTAAGATGCGATGTGGTTTTCGAAAATATATTTAGCGAATTCTCGTATACAGGGTGTTTTATAATAGTGTACAAATTTGGTCAAGAATTTTTTTTACCGAAAATTTACAATTTTTGAAAAATCGAAATTTTAACTATGTACGACTAATCTGCATTGAAATTAGAAAAAACAATTTGGTGTTTATTTTTAATTTTTTGTTTTAAGGAAAATACGATTTTTTTTCGAAAAATATGCATTTATAGTCATACATTTGGTTCTAAATGGTACAAAAGGCATTGTACATTTTGCATAGGCCCACAATATACTGATATAGCGTGTATCTTAAACTAGCTGTACAGAAATTTGGACCGATGAATACAGGGTGTTAAAAAAATATATTTAATATTAAATAAACTTAAATTTTATTATAATTTATCTACGTATTTTATAAATAAAAATATTATTCTGATTTTGAAGGTTTTTTCAACTTGTGTTAGTTATGTGCTTTTAGATACACTCTATATCAATAATTTTTTGGCATGTGCAGAATGTACAAAGCTTTTTGTATCATTTAGGACCATCGTATGACTAAAAATGCATATTTTTCGAAAAAACGTATTTTCCTTAAAACAAAAAAAAAACCGATCAAATTATTTTTTCTAATTTCAATACAGATTAATCGTACTTGGTAACAATTTCGATTTTTTAAAAATTGTAAATTTGCGGTAAAAAAGATTCTTGATCAAATTTTCACACTTTTATAAAACACCCTGTATACGAGAATTCGCTAAATATATTTTCGAAAACCACATAGTACATTAATCACAATAGATGCATCTAAAACCTGGTCCAAACCGCATCCCAAAATGTTTTTTAGTTCATGAGATATTCAACTTTAAATTTACCTTAAAATTTTGCTTGTCCCGATAATTATGTCCGGCAGTTTATTTGACGAAATTGTCCACAAGTACTAGTTAAACGCTTTTCTTCACTTACGCACGCTAGAAAGAAATCTAACAACTAACCTGTTTGTTTCACTTATTCTTAATGGCCAAGCCGTAAGGGGTATCCCCTGGTGTCGATCCCGCAGATCCCGCACGGTAAATCCCGCAAATTGGATCCCGCGGAATCACAGAGGGATCCCGGAAGACATACATTTATACGAACTTTTTTACATATTTTTATCTGCAGAATATGCTTTCGGAATACAGTTCGGACCACCCTGTATAGTAAAAAAAACGGCATCAGCGAAAAAAAAACTTAACGAAATCCAGTAGAGGATTCCAGAAAAACGGATGTGAAAATTCGTATAAATTTTCCCTTTATTGATTATTTTTTTAAACAAAAGCAAATAAAAATAGTGTTTAAAAAAGTAATTTAATAATGTTTACATTACCTATCGGCGTTTCTTTGCCTTCTTTCAGTCTTAAAACGATCTCAGTTTGGCCATCAATAAGAAATCTTGGCGGTCTATTGCACGTGCACCTTTCCACACGAACAATCAGCAAACACAACACAACGTAAACACTAAAACTAACACTGATCCGTGCCGGTTTAAACTTGATTTTCACGAAAAATCCGGTGAATGTTCTCAGGAAGTTCTTCATTGGCATGTTCGTTTCTTGCATTCGAAATTTGTATGGCCTGTAAAGTCGTTGATTCTGTTTCTATATTTGGTTTTCCTTTATTTGAAGGTGTTTTTTGGGAGTATGTGGAGGATTCTGGATATTTTGTACCTCATAGTGTTGTTCTCTGAAATGGAGAAAATATAATTTTGTATTAAAAGATATAAAATAAATTAATTTCGGGGGACGATAATGCAATTTTATCGTCGTGTATAAAACAATATTTTTTTCCATTAGCGAGTTAACTTTTAAAAAATATTCAGAAATTATTATTTCAAGGAATTTATTAGGAGTAGAAAAAATATTGTGCTGGGTTGGCGTTGGTTTCTATGTAATTTGACAATTGAATTAGATAGCTAAAAAAAAACATTTAAATAATCCAATGAAAGTTAAAAATCAGATTTAAAATCTGATTAAGTTATTCTAACACTATACATATCAAACAAATAGGCGGAAAAAATGATAGTTATTAATAAACACTGCAGACCAATAATTACTACTATTGTATTTTAGGTTTTTATTTTTTTATGTTGTTTTACTTAATGTCTTAATGTCTCCATTTCAGTTATTTTGTGTTGAAATAATATTTTGAAATACAAATAAATCAGCTTAAAATGAGTATTATATTATTCTATATCCCCTTATTTTGTTCTATATCCCTAAAATTGGCTCAATGCACAGCTAATAAACACATTTGTTCTATATCCAAATCTAAAATCACTAATATCTTTTAAATAAAGCTTCTAAACATTTCTAAAAGTAAAATAAATACATATGTTTGATAGGTTTTGATTACCTTTAATTTATATGTTTAATGGAACCAGTTTGGTATATAGTGTTCACGGATATCCAGTTTAAACTTTAAACTTTGTTTTTTCAGTTTCATCGAAATGGTCTATAGAACAATTTTATTCTAGGGTGACGGTATACCAAATCTCGTTTTTTTATCTGAAAAAATAAATAAGTTATGGAGGCGAGTCTCTTTTGAAGAACACCCAGCCCAGTATACCAATTAAAATTTCAAAATTGTCTCTGACTGTTATATTACTTTTTGAATATTTTTAAGTATAAAAAAACATAGATATTCTTATGAAAGACAAAAAGAATAAAACACAAATAATATAAAACTCACATAGAAGCATTTTAAAGTAGGTACTCGCGTTCTAGTTGCTTTTAAGAAACCGAATCCCTTTGAGAGATGAACTGTAGATTAGATTTGCGCGACTTGTCATATTATTATTGTACTCCTAAAAGCACTCTTTCGACTTTGAACTGCGAAATAAAGGAGTTGTCTTTGCGAGTTTGACTTTGTGAACTCGCACACGATAAAATAAGCGAGAATTGGTAGGTATACTAGGGAAAATCGAATCTAAATAAATAAAAGAAACTCGGGTTATTTTTTTAGTTTTAATTTGGCCAATAAACCCATGTAGAATGTAGAATGTTTAGGAGGGGAGTTAATCACCGCGACCTTATAGATCTATTGTGTGTTCCCCTTTCTTGAGTTATAACGAGTTATAACTCATCATACAGTCTCAGGGCTTTAACAAAAGCCAGTATCAGAGACGGCTCCACAGAGGCCAGCTCCTCCATCCTCCACATCAGACGTACCAAAGTTCATGGCACGAATGGTCGTCGTCTCGGCGCACTCAGTGATAAGGTGTTCTGGTGTTTCCCCATTTTGTTTCTCAGCTTCAGCCTACTGAGGTGTTCGTTGAGGAGACAGTGTCCTGTTAGAAACCCCGTGACAATCCGAAGATTGTTTTTACTTAAATCAAGGAAAATCTTTGATTTTTCTCGGTCGTAAGTTCTGAGGAAATTTTTCGAGTGTCTTAGACCGTTGGAGGACACCCATTCCAAGTTACGGATGGAGTCTTCCAGATTCTTCAGTTCCGCTTTCAGTTGGTTCCCGTTTGGAAAACAGAACGGTTCTGGTCCAGTTAGTAGAGTGTTCGCTCCTTTCTTCGCTAGATCATTTGCTTTTTCATTGCCTTTTATCCCTTGGTGAGCAGGCACCCACAGTAGGAGGACTTTATTTTCTTTGCCTAATTTGTTGAGCTTCTCTAGGCATTCTTTGACCAACTTAAAATTGATGGTTACTGAGTTGATCGCGTTAAGTGCTGCTTGACTATCGGATAGGATGACAATTTCCGGTTTTCGATAGTTCCTATCTAAGATAAATTGTACGCATCTTTCAATAGCGTAAGTTTCTGCCTGAAGGATACTGGCGTAGGTGCCCATTGGTTCGGAGTATTTAGTTTTCGGCCCAAATACTCCTATCCCTGTCCCTGCTTTGGTTTTGGAAGCATCAGTATACCACGTGATGGTATGGTCTTTTATATGCTGAGTAAGCGTTTCTTTCTTCCCAATCGTTTTTATTACTCAATACAACAGTGAGGTGTTTCTCAAAGTTGTAAATTCTTGGTATGTCATCCACTGGGAGTTGGAGAAGTGGAATTTTCTTTTTGAGGGTGTTCCAATCCCCTGACCTGAAAATTCTCCCAGTACTGTTTCCGTCAATGACCATTCTAATCATTGTCGCATTGGCATAACTACCGACGACGATGTGCAGTGGTGTTAGGTCTAGAATGACCTCCATTGCTGCTGTTGGACATGTTCTCATTGCACCTGTGATGCAGATACATGCCAGTCTCTGTACTTTGCACAGGTTTTGCCTTGCTGTACGTTGTAACAATATAAACTTATAGAAAAATCACAGTAATGAAAAAGCAAACGATCTAGCTAGAAGAAGAGCGAATACTCCATAAACTGGACCAGAACCGTTTTGCTTCCCAAGTGGAAACCAACTTAAAACGGAACTGAAGAACCTGGAAGAATGATGAGTTATAACTCAAGAAATACAATCCTATACAATACAAAAAGACAGGTTTCTACATTCCAAAGTATATCACAAATCAGCCCTATAACTGACAGCTAGACAAGTTACAAACGAGAACCTTTAACAAGCCAACAGAGAATAGGAAATAGGACTTGCCGAGCTGTTAACTACCGAGAAAATAATTGCGAAATTGCAGTACAATTAACAATTAAACTGTCTCAATTATCAATTGATAGGCAATCATACTGCATATTTAGCTAGTCTTCCTCAAAGTAGCAGATCGCGTGAGCGAATAAAAGTCTTTAAAAAAGATTTAATACGATAAATGAGTTCCTTTACCTGATTTTAATTATAGGCACTAATGACGTCTATTATTAATTGCATAATTTTGTAAAGTGTAAATTTTATAACTAAAATTTGATTTTTTTCCCAAAATATGGTCGAAAAACTGTAGTTTCCGATTTTTCGGTTTTTATTTTTTTACGAGTTTACTTTCACCAGTTAGAAAAAATCTATAAAGGCATCCAAAGAAACCCTTTTTTAGCTTCTTTCCTTCTTCTGTAACCATCTTTATTTTTAGCCGACCATACCAACAGGTATGGTAGATCAGTATTAAGAAAGGCAAAAACATTTTTTTTTAATTTCACTGAAAATTAGTTATTTGGGTCATAAATGACCTAAATACAAAATATTTTCAGTCTGTCTGTCTGTGCGTCTGTAACACGATAACTCAACAACAACAAATCAAACCGCTAAACCGATTTTAACCAAATTTGGCACAAAAATACTGTGGCACCCGAGAATCTGGCCATTAGTTTTTGGTGGGGGTGGGGGGTTGGTAAGGGAGTATGGGAGGGGGTTAAATATTATAAAAAATCGTAACTCCAAAATTACAGTAGCTAGCGAAACGCGGTTCTCAATTTAAGATTAGGAATACTATTTGCAACAAAATTTGTAATAACATCAAAATCGAAAAGTCGCAGTTTTTGAGATAAAAAAAAATTGAAAAAAATCCAAGTAGTTTATTTTTATCCGTCAAAATATACTTGTAAAAAAATAAAAACCAAAACCAGAAACTTAAGTTTTCCGCCATATTTCCGGAAATGACAAAGATAAGATTCAATTAGAGGAAAGTAACTACCATAGAATAGTAGACTTAATATGGAATACCGGCCGCGGCCATTTCTCGGAAACGAGTACGTCTAATTGCAAAAGATAGTGATTTTTAATCTCTTTTCATCATTATACTCATGATTGTGTGAAATAATATTGTATATTATAACAATGCATTGATTGTACCGGGTGTTGCATCGTCGGACGGGACATAGGAAATCCCATGTAAATTTTAATCGGGTCAATTATTGGCTTCCCTAATTATTTTAGAGAATAATTCTATTTAGGTTTATTGAAGAGTTTTTGAACTAAAACCCACATTCAAAAGAATAACTTTAGATATTTTTGATTAGCTCGTTTACCAGTTATCGCCCGATTTCTTTTTAAATATTTCTCCTTTCTTATGGCCCTGTATTTACTTATGAGCAACAGTCAAGGTAAAAGATAACTGTCAAATGAAGTTGTCATATCAGAAATTTACCTATTTAGTGCTTTATTATTATTGAAAACTCACTCCTACATCGGAAATCTTAAATATGTATTTATAAATAAAAATTAATATGAATTAAAGTAAAATAAAGTATCAATTACAAGGTTAATTATAGTATTATTACAATATTCAATAACTTATTAATTTAGGTACTACTAAATTGTTAGAACTTTAAGATTTAAGAAGATGTTCCAATATTCCGCCATCGACCATCGACTGCTAGACAATAACCCAGGCAATCATAAAATTCTCTTCTTACATTCGCTAGTTGGTAAACTAGCGAATTGAAATTCTATTGCATTCGGCAGAAATAGCATTTTTTAACTCGTCTAGATTTGAGTATTTTTTATCCTTGTATATCCTGTTTTTTAAATGGCCCCAGAGAAAGAAATCTGGGGCCAAATCTGTCTGAATGTGTTTAATAAAAACGTTTTGATTAGTTTGAAGCGTTTATTTTTTAGTTTTCCATATTTGGGTACCAATTCCATTTTTAGGTGCCTTTATGTTTAATTTGTTTTTGAGAAAATTCTATATTTTAACTTAATAGATACGAAACAGATAACAGTTATTAAGTTATGCGCAACTCTATAACTGATAGAGAATAATAAAATAAAATTTTCTGTTTTACAATACCTTTTTTTATAACACAAAAACTAAACGGTATTCCCAGAAGTCAATGGTGAGA